CTGTCAAACCGGTTTTACAGGTGGTTATCTTCGTGAAGTCGGTACAGCGCTGTGGCGCGCTCCACCAGCTTCTTTCTGAACAGAATTTCCCTTCTATAGCCATTCATAGGCAGATGCCACAGGAAGAGCGTCTTGCACGTTATCAAGCCTTCAAGGATTTCCAGGTTTGATGATTTTTTAGTGGGTTTTTCTGGGTGAGGGTGTTTTCAGTCTAGACACGTAATTTCAACTCCTTGTTTAGAAACGTATTTTGGTCGCGACTGATTTGTTCGGAAGAGGGATGGACATTGAAAGAGTTAACATCGTTTTCAACTATGATATGCCCGAGGATTCAGACTCTTACCTTCATAGGGTATGATTGTTTTATCATTGCCCTCTTTTGAGCAAAATCATTTTCTCGTTTTAGGTAGCTCGAGCGGGTCGATTCGGAACCAAAGGACTTGCCATTAGTTTCGTGTCGGACGAGGCTGACGCGAAAACTCTTAACAGTGTGCAGGATAGGTTCGACATCAGCATTACGGAGCTGCCAGAAACAATTGATGTTTCTACCTATAGTGAGTTTTATCCTTCAACTTCCATTTATGTCGTGTTTTGTGAAAGCGGAACTGCTTATTGTGATTGCTGTAATATTAATATACCATTTCAGTCGAGGGCAGAACGAACTAACTACGGAGTAATGTTCCAGTGTATTGTATTGTATGGCTGTGTAACTGATTTCGAAATTGTTACTGTTTCCTGAAAGTTCATCGCGTGGTCTCATTGTTTTCTTGTGTTTCTGTTTTCTTAGTTCCCAACCGTTGGATTGTAAGACTTGCAAATAAAGTATGATGTCGTACACATTTTGTCCTGTTGGTATTCTGTTGTAAACACGATGCGATAAGGGTAGAAGAGAAATGCGTCTTGCCTAAATGGTGCTTTCATGGATGGCGAGTAATGGAAAGAGGCGTTCAGGTATTGGGGAGATTTTGTTTGATCATTTTGCAGTTTTGATTCATTTCTTTTGTTAGTCGAATCTATTCTCAGTCACTCGAATTCTTCCATAGCGAACAGTAGAGCGAAGTGGGCGTGCAATCATCACGATTATTAATTGGAATGGGACTTGACCCCTCCTTTAATGGCTATCAGCAGGGGTCCGAAAAAAGTAGAACCGTGAAGGAGAGGCTACCTTCACAGTTGATTTTTAGGTTCTACTTCAATTTCATGCCTATGCTACTGTGAAGAAGGTTAAAAGGCAAAAAATTTTTTGCTAGGAGTTTTTTACTTCTAGCGGCAGAGGGCAATTGATGTGTGGCCCACAGCTCAACTGAGGTAACACTGGTGCACAAGATTTTCTGATCTATGTGTCAAAAAGCAGCTGTATCAGTCCAAGCTTAATAATGCCGTCAGTAGTGCATTTGTCGGTAAGGTTCGATTTCGGCTATCACTGCGGTGTTCCTCAGAATTCGTGTTTGGCAAGTAAGTTGCGCTTCAGTAGGAATCAGAGGTTCTTACGGGGAAATCGGGAAGCAGAGATTGGTAGCGGTTGGAAAGTGCAAATGAGAACATTGAGACTACTTTTTTCCCATACGATTTGGCCTTGAAAATTCCAGTGAAGCGAGTAGATAGGAAAAGCGGCGGAATAACTATCGTTAATTGTAGCACCTTACCAGTTGATAGTTTCGAGACGATTGCTTCTACTCATTAGAAAAAGTCTTTCGTGGCGTGGATCCCTTTTCGAAAAGTGGTATTTTATGGTACAGGGTTACATGCGTGGAGCATAAAACTGATAATCATTTTTTTAAAGCAAACCTAGGATTGCCAGAAAAAGGGCAGAAAAGTTTTTTAGTATGAAATTTCTACATTTTTAATGACCTCTACAGTATTTTAGCGTTGCATATTGGAAGCTCTGAATTGAATATTGGATGTTCCAAACGCTTGGACAAAACCTATCCCAAGAAATTAAAACTTTTTTTTTTTTTTTTTTTTTTTTTTTTTTTTTTTTTTTTTTTTTTTTTTTTTTTTTTTTTTTTTTTTTTTTTTTTTTTTTTTTTTTTTTTTTTTTTTTTTTTTTCTAAACCTAAAGAACCACCGGGGCGTTGAGCCTTTCATGAAAACGGATTGTTTCATAGTATAGAGGTACGTGTGTAGAACATAAAATCATAATCACTTTCTCTGGGCGGCGCTAGGATTGCCAGAACAAAGGACAGAAACTTTTCTTAGGACGACACTTTTACATTTCTAATGAACTCTACAGCATTTTTAGCGTTGAATAGTTGCATTGTAAGCTCTGAAATGGATATTGGAAGTTCACTGCATAAGCCTTACAAGGGGGGGGTCTTTCAGGGCAAGCCGCGCTTTTTGGAAACGGTTTTTGCATATTGTAGGGACGCATGTATGGACCACAAAACCATGTTTCGTTTTCGCTGAACGGTTTTAGTAGTACCAAAAAAGTGGTGAATGATACCCTTGATGGTTCGATCCCCCGCGGCGACTAAATTTTGCAATCAAGGTTGGCGGCCACTTGTTGGCTTCAAAATGGTCCTGACGATGAATTGACATCTGATTTTGACATTTAGCGCGATTTGGCACCAAACCGTAGGCGCCAACCCAAATGCAAAATTTAGTCGCCACGGGGGATCGAACCATTAACAGTACCTTATGCTTTTTTTGGTACTGCTAAAACCGTTCAGCGAAAATGAAACATGGTTTTGTGTTCCCTACATGCGTCCCTACAATATGCAAGAAACCGTTTTGAAAAAGCGTGGCTTGCCCTGAAAGACCTCCCCCCGCCTTAGACAAATATGAGCCCAAGAAAGCGGAAATCAGACAACTGAAAAAATTTGTCTTCAGGGGGATCGAAGCACAAACCTTGGTTTCAACGTTCACTCGGCATTCCAGATCCTAGAGTCGCCCAGTAAAAAAATGATCTTCAGTTTTGTGCTCTCTGCTCGTGTTTCTATAACATGCAGAGAAGCGTTTGGAGAAAGC